GCAGCCATTTCTCTTGAGGACGCTAAAGCCCGCATTAAGGCTTCCAGCACTACTTACAAGATGGAGCATGCGGAGGATGATTTTGAGGCTGGTGTTGAATTTGAAAGTTTCCACTATCAGGCCACAGCTCCTTTTTCTGACACGGCCCTCCTTGCTAGCTTTTTCATGATTTGGTTGAAGCTGTGTGTAGTACCGTCAAAACCAGTAGAGGCGATATTGGCTGAGGTTGTATACCCAGCTGTTTTATTAGCTCATGGGAGACCCGTGAGCCTCCTTACTGCTATGGCAAGCTGCATACAAAATGGCCTAAGGATGTTGACCTCTGAACTTCTCGGCACCTCGGGAATTAAGGCAGCTAGGAAGAAAGCAGGGAAAGCTCCTCAACCACGTATACCAGTGCCGTATACGTACTTGGTAGCCTGGTTCGTGCTGCATTGCCCTTCGTTGATGATGGGGGTATCTAAGGATGATGACGCTTATGTTCTCTTTGTACAAAGATTGGAATCGGCTACGTGGACTAATTCCTACATAGTCAGGGCTCGACAGCTCTTGTCTCGGGGAGGTAATTATAGGATCTTATGTTGCGCTCCTAACTTTGATGGAGCTGATGAAGAGAATGCCAATTTCCCAGATGTGCTTTTTGAAGGTTCGTCTTCCTTGTAAGAAGGCACCTTCACATGGCTTCTTATGATCAGAGTAGGCTACTTGGTTTATCGCTTGAAAGAGAAGTGCATCATCGAGCCTTATGTGCCTTTTCAATTCGCCAGACAATTTGGATATGACCAGCTTTATGTTGGCAATCCTAACCCGGTGTTGGCTCAAATTGGGAATTTGTACGAGGGAGCTCGCGCATGGTACTTCTTCTCCGCTGGAGGAACCCATGCACACTTTACTTTACCCAATTCGCCACCTGACTGTTCTACTGTTGTGGATTTTCGCCAGTGGTTTGATGAAGCTTCTCGAATCCCAGAATATGACATTTATACTTCGTGCATAAATAAGATTCGGGAGTTGTATAAATAGAAAAGCAGTTCTACCAAGACTCGCCTACCAGGAATAGAGGAGTATTTATCCTGTGAACGGGAAGCGACGGGAGCCATTGAAACCCCAAGGGAATTACCGACCACTGAACCTTCTGAAGAAGAGGTTCTTATGGGGGCTGAAGAGGGATCACCAATTGCTGATTCTCCTGAAGAAAAGGCAACCGAGGAATCTCATGTAGAAACGCCAGCCGTTGAACGTCGCTCCTTAAGCTCAGGTAAAAAGGCCCTTACTGCGGCAGAGGAAGGCGAGTATGATAGGAGAATTCGCAAGAGAAAGCCTGTCGCCGCTAAAAACTCTAAGAGGGTCAAATTGATGGAGGACGCGATGAAATCTGCACCTGCTATGTGCTTGGCAGACAAGGAAGATGACGTGCTTCAATCGATCCCTTCTACTCCTGAAGAGGCGGGCACCGACGAGATATTGCCTATTGAGGGTTTGGAATCTGCTTCTCCTCCTCTCGTCCGGGACCAAGGTATATGTGGAGGTCATCCTTCCGAGGTTGCTCCTCCACCTACTAAGGATGAGTATGGAGATCCGATCTATCCCACTGTTCCTCCTCCACGCTCGAGAGCTTTGAAAAAACTGGTTGAGGAATTGGAGTATTAGATACAGATGACTATTGATCTCGTCAGCCTTGGGGTGCTTCCTTTGAGGATTGTAAACCTATCCTGACCAAGTGTTTAGATAAGATCAGGGATAAGGGTGATGTGTCCTGGACTGAACATTGTAAGGGGAGTATCATCCTCTTGGAAGCAGAGTTGGCCTCCTTCAAAGAGCTGTAGCGCACCGATCTAGAATCTGAAGTGGAGCCGACTCTCTCTTTGGCCATTATCTCAAGGGTACATCATCGAGAGACCCTTTGCAGGGAACTATCTGATAAAAAGACTCGCATAACGATCCTAAGGAAGCAGCATTCTCAAGCATATGATAATATCAAAAGTGTTGCTTCTGACATTCGTGCCACTGAAGAAGCTATTACTCAATTAGAGGCTGAGTTGGATCAGAAGAAAACCCAATTGGCTCAATATGAGGATGTCAGAAAAGGGCTTGAGCTTCAAAGTAGCCAGGTTTATACGGATTTTTGCCGCACGCTCCACGCGGCTAAAAGGATTCGAAGAGATATTGTTGTTGCTGCCCCTGTCGAAGCGGAACTCAGAAGGGAGATCAAAGAACAAGTTCGAACAGCCCACCAGAAGAAACTTTCTGCTTTTAAGTCCAGGCCGAAATCTCTTAAGTTGATGAAGCCTGATGTTTAGATTTTGTCCTGTTTTTGGCTGGGAAACAATTTTGTATCATTTTCATTTCGATTGTCGTCTCCTTGTATCCAAATTAACAATATTGAATGAAAATGATATTATTTTGTCTTTTCATCATCTCTTTTTATTGAATTCTATTTCAGGACCATGAAAAATAGTGCAAATGCTATAAGTATAATGTTAACTTAGCATAAAATTAAAATTCTCTTTATTACCATTTAGAAATAATTCTAGAAAATTTCAATCGTCAGAGGTGTAATGTTAACATGACGACATACAAGACAGGGAAATTAAATATTTATTCCCGAAATACACTATGAATTGGCAACCCCCAGCCTAACTCGGCTGGGGTTCAGGGGACTGCATGATTTACGGAAAGTATCTTTTAAGGAACTTCCCATTAATTGGCATCATGAGCATGTCTCCTTTTTGATCGATGAGGCGATAAGCTCCGTTCGAATAAACTGATTCTATTACGAAGGGCCCTTCCCATTTAGGATTGAACTTCTCTTTGGTTTTGTGTGTCATTACCATGGGTTGTCTGTTGGCCAAAACTAAGTCGCCTTTCTTGAAAATCCGCTCTTTAACTTTTCTATTGTAAGCTTTGGAAATCCGAGCTTGATACAACTCGATCTGTTGCTGAGCTTGAAGTCGTTTGTCGTCTAAGGCTTCAAGTTCTTGCAGACATCGCTGATGTTTCTCTTCCTCCGTTAGTCCAGTTGTAATCGCGACTCTCAGAGAAGGGATTTGAATTTCTAGCGGTAGTACAGCTTCGCAGCCATACACTAAAGAGAATGGCGTAGCTCTTGTAGGGGTCCTCACCGTTGTGCGATAGGCCCACAAACATTCGTCGAGTCTTTCGTCCCAGTCATGTCGGCTCTTAGAGACGAATTTTTTGAGAAGTTTCACGATGGTCTTGTTAAAGGCTTCTGCGAGACCGTTTGCCGGTGGATAATAAGCTGTAGAGGCAACGCCTTGGATCTTGAATTTATCACAAAACCTCTGAAACCCAAAGCTGATGAATTGTGTCCCGTTGTCGTGAATTATCTGTCTCGGGACTCCAAAATGGTAGATGACGTGATGTTTGATGAACTTAACTACATTCGAAGTCTTAACTTCTTTCAACGGGATTGCCTCCGCCCATTTGGAGAAATAATCGGTTACGGCCAGGATGAACCAGTGCCCTTTGGAAGTCGGGGGCGAGATTGGTCCCACGACATCCATACCCCACATTTTAAATGGCCAAGAAGCAGATGTCGGATGTAAGTTACCTGGTGCTCGGTGGATAAAGTCCCCATGTATTTGGCATGCGTGACACCGTTTAGCGTAGTCAACTGCATCTGAGAACATCCTTAGCCTGTAATAACCGATTCATCGGAGGCGATCTCCTAACTTAGCTCCAGGCTGATGAGCTCCACACATTCCATCGTGAGCTTCCTTGACAGCCTCTTTTGCTTCCTTCCGAGAGAGGCATCGAAGTAAAACTCCATCATGTGATTTACGGTACAGGATTTGAGAAGCTGCATCGTAATAGAATTGGGGGGCCTTTCGTTTGATAGCAGCCGCTTCTTTAGGGTCATCGGTAAAATTCCATATATGACATAGTCGATGTACGAAAATCGCCAATCTCTAGATTCAAGCTCCATCGAGGTTGTACAGACTTCTCCTACTATTATCTTGTCTGAACTTTCTTCTATAGGAATCTTGGAACAGTATAGCTCACGTCTCGTGACTGGAATCATTATCTCAACCCCTGGTGGCAATGCTAGCGAAGTTGCCAACGAGGCTAAGGCATCCACATAAGCATTCTGAGCTCGCGGGATATACTCAATAAAGAAACCTTCGAACTTCTTAGCTTGCTTCAGCACTGTGAAGTAGTACGGGATTAAATCCTCATGACGTACTTCGTATTCCCCTCGGACTTGATTTACGATGAGTTGAGAGTCACCGTAAGCCTCGAGATGCTGAATATTAAGTTCTTCAGCAAATTACATTCCCAATAGCAGGGCATTATACTCGGCTACATTGTTGGTGCAGGGTTCAATCAAGGAAAATCCCATTGGGATCACATGCCCGTTTGGAGAGATGAATACTACTCCTACTCCTGCTGTAATTGCTCCATGTGGATTTGCTCTGGATGCACCGTTGAAGAATAATCTCCACACTTGCGTAGATTCTCGAGTGACACAAGCTTCAGCAACTTCGTCGGGCAATTCTTCATACAACTTAAATACCCCTGGCACCGGGTGATCGGCTAAGAAGTCTGCCAATTGATAATCATATTTTATTACAATTTTATACCCTCAATATCTATTTTATATGAATAAATATACCACTAATAATTACTTTTATCTTTAATTACAGGTTAATGAAGAATAAATCCCAAAAATCTCATCTCTCAACAAAGGCCCTTGAGTAAATGAAGAAATAAGAGAAATTCAAGAAGCCAAATGAAATATTTGAATTTTAAAGGGTCAAAAGCCCAAATATCCCAAAATTTCCAAAAGAAGCCAGCACAAGCTCAAGGCCCAAAGCCCATCAACAAATCCCTACACCCATAAGCTCTCAAGGCTTGGACCGGACCTCTTTTGCTGCAGAATTTTCTTCATTGAAGCATGAATGGACCGGTTTTAGTTGGATTTTCATATATTTGAAGCTTGAAGGCCCAAAAATGAATTGGACCGGACATGGGCTGCAGAAAATTGTATTGGATTTTGATTTTCTTTTGAAAATCAAATAAATCATATGGGCCTCCTATATTGGGCTAGAGAAGAACAAAAAGCAAATTCAAAGGTGGAGATTGCTTTGCTTGGGGCTCAAGACAAATCCAATGGCTCATATTCATTGATGATTACTATAAATAGGGGTAGAGAAGGAGGGGTTAAGGGTGTGAAAATTTTTGTAACATCTTTTGGAGAGGAGGACTACTCTTAATTGAGAAGGCCTTCCAAAATTATAACTTTTGTTGTAATTAATAATAATAATTTTTTCACCACTTTAAATTTTTCTCTTCTTCTCTTTATTGGATGATGAAGATGAAGATGAAGATGGAGAATTATTTGAAGGTTTTTATTTCTTTTCTTTTTTCTCTTTTATTGCTTATTAGTTTAGATTTATTTCTATACTTGTAGTTAGATTTTATTTTCTTGTTAAATAGCCAAGAGGCTAGAACCCTCTTGCCTTAGATTTATTTCATGCTTATAGAGTAAATTTATTTTCTTGCATTTAATTCTTACAATTTTATTTTGTAGTTTAGATTTTTATTTTCTTTGTAGTTAGATTTATTTCTTGTTCATAGTTTAGATTTTTCTTTTCTTTTTATTTTTGTAATTAGTTCTTTTTCTTGTTTTTATTTCTTAAGATGTGAATTTACTTCTTGTAGGAAGTTTAGAATTATAATTTTGTGGGTATATTCACTGCAAACCCTCACGAGACTACAACTCGTCCACTAGGGTAACCTAGGGGTTTAAAGGCTTGTTGTATGCGCTAAATACAACCGCGATTCCTGCGAAAGTGAGTTAGGATTTTCTTTTTATTTTCTTTGCTAGAGGACTAGCAAAAGTTTAGGTGTGGGGGTATTTGATAATCATATTTTATTATAATTTTATACCCTCATTATCTATTTTATATGAATAAATATACCACTAATAATTGTTTTTATCTTTTAATTGCAGGTTAATGAAGAATAAATCTCAAACTCTCATCTCTCAACAAAAACCCATTGATTAAATGAAGAAATGAAGCAAAGAAGCACATTGGAAAATCAATTTCCAAATTATCCAAAAGCCCAGAATCAAGTCGTGTAGCCTGTAGAAGCCGGAGAAAACCAAAAATCCAATATGAAAAGAAATCATATTCAAAATGGTTGGCCACAAAGAAACGAAGATATCTCCTAATCCGGAAGGCGGAATTTAACATATAATATATGAAAATCGCCTATCTCAACGAGACGAAGCTATCCGTGAAATCAGAATTTGGAGGAATTAGTGGGCATCGATGTCGGCATCGTTGTAGGCATCGATACCTGCATCGATGCCTGCATCGATGCCAGATTACTGTAGCGCGCGTCAATGGCTGATTGTGCTTGTCTTGGGGCTCAAGTTTGATCCAATGGCTCTCATTCACTGATGTTTACTATAAATAGGGGTAGAGAGTGAGGGGTTAGAGGTGTGAAAATTTTGTAAACTCCTTTTGGAGAGGAGGGCTACTCTTAATTGAGAAGGCCTTCCAAAATTATAACTTTTGTTGCAATTAATAATAATAATTTTTTCACCACTTTAAATTTTTCTCTTCTTCTCTTTGTTGGATGATGAAGATGAAGATGAAGATGGAGAATTATTTGAAGGTTTGCATTTCTTTTCTTTTTCTCTTTTATTGCTTATTAGTGTAGATTTATTTCTATGCTTGTAGTTTAGATTTTATTTTCTTGTTAAATAGCCAAGAGGCTAGAACCCTCTTGCCTTAGATTTATTTCATGCTTATAGAATAGATTTATTTTCTTGCATTTAATTCTTGTAATTTTATTTTGTAGTTTAGATTTTGCAATTATTTTGTAGTTAGATTTTAATTTCTTATACTATTCACCTTGAGGCTAGAACCCTCTTGGGTTTAGTTTTTCTTTTTGTTTATTTTTATTTTGTTTGATTCGCCTTTAGGCTAGAACCCTCTAGGGAATCACCATTTTCTAAGAAGTGGGTTCAATTGTAGATTACCCATATCTATAATTGAATCCACCATCTTTAATTTCTTGCATTTTCTTTTATTCTTGAATTTTATTTTCTTTATTCTTGATTTTTATTTTCCTTTTCCTTCTTGCCTTATTGATCATATTCATTCTTTGTCACATCCACTCTCACTTATATCTCGTGCCGATTTACACACTATCACTTCCACTCTCTCTATCTCTCCACAATCACATTCACTTATCACTCCTACTTGTCACACACACAACATAAGAACCGATTTTATATTTTCTCCTACAAAACACCTTCCTCGTGGGA